CTCGAGACAAAACCGAAATTCTAAATGTTTTTGCACCCGATGTGCAGTGTTTCTTGGGCACCACAATGTGTTCGTGTTGGAAATCGAGTACCTGTAAATGAAAATTTTTCACTCCGACGACACGCATTCATTGATATTATTACGTGGTTCCTTATGTACGATTGCGAATTATATTTACAGCATTGTAAGAGTAATTTAACCATATTTTTTCAGCCTAAACAACAACTATATCGGTGTGCAAGCACCTTGTCTTTGTCCTCCTCCGTATAAAACAAAGCGACCGAGAACATGAGAAAATGTTTTTGTTCAAATCGAATATACAACGTTTTTTAACGACGAATATCGAATAAATATCGTTTTGAAATAAATGTCGTACTTAAATTTTATAGTTCATACATATGAATACGTGCAGTAAACACGTTTATAGTGATTTTTCTAGCAATTAACTTCTCCCGTTTTCTGTAAATACTGCTTTTGAGTTGTAAATTTTCGTTACTAACTTCGTTCCGCTCGTCTTCGCAGTAATAGGCCAACTGAGCCACCATTGTGGGCGAAAGACGGGTCAAAATATATATAATTGCGAAGCGATCATTCGACCCGCCCGAAATTAAAAAAGCCGACCAGGTTTCTTCCTCAACTTTCCTCACTCCAACACATGCAGGGAGGTAATCAGAAAGATTTTTAATATCAAATTCCGATAATAAGAAATGCTAAAGACGAGTAATTTTGTTCAATTATGAATAATTTCTACTTTAAAACTTTTTGCCAGATGAAATTAATTTTCAAGCAACGTCTATCAGAAAGACAGTTACCACGTGTTTACTTTCAATAATCGGGAATAAAGCTTTTGACCACCGAGCTTTCGTGATGGCTGCTTTAGCGTTGAAAGTTTCAAAAAATTCATTTCTACCAAGAGAAGGCGGTGGGGGCATAGCTCTGTGGTAGAGCATTCGACTGCAGATCGAGAGGTCCCCGGTTCAAACCCGGGTGTCCCCTAATTGTAATCTTTTTCGAAGAAATTGTAAACTTACATAATTTCGTTATAATGCTTATTAGAAAATTTAATATATGTATATATACATATATTTTTTTTTTTCAATGAAACGATAAGATTACTGCAGATAGTCAAATTGGTGTTTACTAATTTTAAGTCTCATGAATTTGCCAATTTAGAATGTACTTGTTTAATACATTTTAAACAATTATGTTCTGAATTTGCTCTCACTGTTTTTCAAAATAGTGCAATTTAATACCTGTTAGAACTTTTCGTTATTCTCAATGCAACGTTTATTCGATAGCACGACGAGAGAATAAAGATAATAATTTGAATAAAATATATAAGAGAATAAAAATATAAAAATACAGAGTCCATTTGTAACAACACAATGCATCGATGTATTCATTTAGATAATGTTTTTCTCTATCGGCAACTTATCGTTTAGGTGAAAAAATATGGTTAAATTACTCTTACAATGCTGTAAATGTTTTACACAATAATACATACGGAACCACGTAATAATACCAGTGAATGCGTGTCATCAAAGTGAAAAAGTTCTATGTAAAATTTTCATGTACAGGCAGTGGTGATATTCGAAATATTTAACAAAGGGTTCGCTAACAGAAACTTTTTCCTTAACCTAACCCCAAGCCCGAGATATCTCGGGCAAGTTACATAGCGTTACATAAAACTCGGGCGTTTGGTCCTCCTAAAAGTTTTGTTTTTTTGGCATTTTGGAATGTTTTTTGTCTCCAAATTTTTTCAAAAATTTTTTTCCGCGCGAAAAAATTTTATCGCGATTTTAATTTACCTTTAATGACGCACGATTCACACTTAATTGCTTTTTAATTGTTTTTTAATGGGAGTTTGATATCAAATTTCATTCATCGTTCTAAAGTTGTAGCGCACGTATTTTACTTCGGTAAAATTATTTAAAGCTAGTTTCTGATGNGCAATTTAATACCTGTTAGAACTTTTCGTTATTCTCAATGCAACGTTTATTCGATAGCACGACAAGAGAATAAAGATAATAATTTGAATAAAATATATAAGAGAATAAAAATATAAAAATACAGAGTCCATTTGTAACAACACAATGCATCGATGTATTCATTTAGATAATGTTTTTCTCTATCGGCAACTTATCGTTTAGGTGAAAAAATATGGTTAAATTACTCTTACAATGCTGTAAATGTTTTACACAATAATACATACGGAACCACGTAATAATACCAGTGAATGCGTGTCATCAAAGTGAAAAAGTTCTATGTAAAATTTTCATGTACAGGCAGTGGTGATATTCGAAATATTTAACAAAGGGTTCGCTAACAGAAACTTTTTCCTTAACCTAACCCCAAGCCCGAGATATCTCGGGCAAGTTACATAGCGTTACATAAAACTCGGGCGTTTGGTCCTCCTAAAAGTTTTGTTTTTTTGGCATTTTGGAATGTTTTTTGTCTCCAAATTTTTTCAAAAATTTTTTTCCGCGCGAAAAAATTTTATCGCGATTTTAATTTACCTTTAATGACGCACGATTCACACTTAATTGCTTTTTAATTGTTTTTTAATGGGAGTTTGATATCAAATTTCATTCATCGTTCTAAAGTTGTAGCGCACGTATTTTACTTCGGTAAAATTATTTAAAGCTAGTTTCTGATGTCAAAAACGACCTCCGATAGTTTCTAAATTTTTTTAATTAATAGATTTTATTATATATAAGTTTAATTAAGTCGGGGGGGTCGGAAATCGCAATAAAAATTTTAATTTTTTAAAAATATACGGCCAACTAGTATTCACCCTACTATAAACCTATCGCCTCCCGAGACTTCTATGAGAATGTCCCGGAAAATCGGACTCCAGCTGTGTTCAAGGTCATCCAGCTGTTTAAACAATGACTCATCAGCGTAAGATTTCACAGAAAGACGAGACAAAGGAAAATAAAATCTGAAGCTTTTTCTTCAAAATTAACGCATTTCTTTCGTTTTTTCAGTTTTAAGTATTTTTTATGTTTAATTACATTAATATCAAAAATTGCTAGAGTCCCAAGGAGTTAATTGCTTTCCCTATGACTTTTTCTCAAGAAAAAACTTTTTAAATCGTTTATTTTATCATTAGGTATTATTATAATAAGAGACAGATGTCATTGTTTCTCGAAATACAATATCTTTTTTATTTCGCTGTCGATAGCCGGACACGTGTTCCGCAGCCATCTTGTATTTTCTCGCGCGCGTGGGATTGTGGGATCCCTCGTATGACTGGATCTAGTTTCAAGAACTCTCTTGAGTCGATCGCGATTAAATCTCGTTTCAGTCGAGATTGAAACGGTCGATGGAGGTTATATGCGAACGGCGACAAGTGGAACATGGCGAACGGGGTATAAGGCTCTAGTTTAGTAGTGTTACAGAGTATAATACGTATATTTTAATATATTTTTTAAAAGAAACAAAACCACTGAGAAATGTTACGTGTGTTTAACAACGGGTTCGGAAAACTTTGAAAATGTTAACAACAGGTTCGGCCGAACCTGTGCGAACCCGCTGAATATCACCACTGTGTACAGGTACTTGATTTCCAACACGAACACATTGTGGTGCCCGAGAAACACTGCACATCGCGTGCTAAACATTTAGAATACAGATTTTGTCTGGAGCTTTCTATATTGTATCCGAATATTGTATTCATTTTTAGTTAGAATTAGCATTCCCCGTGGCTGCCTCGCCTGCTCTTATATACATATACATATGCATATTTCGTATACTTATGTACTTATTTTGTTCGGAATAGAATCGTACCGGTTATATATCTCAGTTCCGGGGAAAATTTTTAAATTGAAATAACCTGACTTGCGGTACAAATCGATAGTTGAATCTACTCCACTTTCTCTTACGATTTCCATGTCTTGTCTCGAATTTCATCTTTCTAATCATTTTCTCGAGTTTAAGGATGGACAGACATACAGCAGACAGGGGATGACATTCAGAATTTATAGGTCTACATTTTTTTTTTTTTCAAATTGCAGCCCATACTTCGACCTTCTCCCGCAACAGTTCCTTCTTTCTATGGGACAAGTCTTATGGTGACATTCGAATAGGAAAATTACATAAGAAATTACCGGAAGCATAAAATATGTATGCTTTAATGTTCGTTATATTATAGTATTTGATTTATATTTAAAAAGGTTATCTTACGTAAGGGTTTATCACACCGAGTACACAATATAACACATTTTAATAATTATTTATTCCTCTATTGTACACAATTTAACGAATTTTTAAAATGTATAATATAAAAATATAAGAGGAAGGTTAGAAGTACAAAATAATCTAATAATCTTTATCTTTTCTGTTGTTATTTTTTTTTTGCCGGGCTCATTTATTAGTTTTTTTATATTTTTAATTATTATAAAATGGCAGAAGGATTAATTTTGAAGATAGAGATAAATTTATGTAAAAAATTGTAAATGCTAATAACGAATAAAATCGTCATTAGATTAAATCTGACGTACTCGAGATATGAAACAATAGAGAGGTTGCGGCCGAAGTTTTCATCTTTAAAACGTGAACGTCGAACGCCTCTTACAAGATAGCGGCGCTCGACGTTCGACGTTCACGTTTTACAGATGAAAACTTCGGCCGCAACCGTCGAGCGCTGCTATCTTGTAAGCGGTGCTCGACGTTCGACGTTTACGTTTGAGAGATAAAAACTTCGGCCGCAACATCTCTATTGTTCTCTGTCTAGCACTGTGTATAGAACTTGTGCTGTTGTCACGTGAAGCCAGGTGTTGATGTTATCTGCCTGGACGTTTCCTGCCTTCAATCCTAATTATACATTGGGTAAAAAATTAAAAGAATTTTTATTAATTTTCTATCCAGGTCGTTGGCAGTAATATAATGCTTTATGTAATTGCACACAACGAAAATAACATATCAAATGTTTTATTTCGAATGTCGGAGAATCAAATTTGTTTTTATCAAAAAGTAATTGAAATAGTAACGTTACACTCCGTTATTGTAGTTATTTATTTAGTATAAGGTTTTTTTCCCTCCTGCGTGGAGAACAAAACAATAGAATTACATTACGTAAACGAGTAGAATAATAACAAAGATAAATGGAATGAGTAAAAAATCTGTACGTACTCATTAATTAAAAAAACAGCAACAACAATGAACTTTACCTACAATGATATTTAAACCAAAAAACACGCAAAACGATGCGGCTGTTTTCAAGTTTTACCGATCGTAACTCGCTATATAAACTCCCAATATTGTTGTGAGAATCGGAATAATTTCTACAATGAAGTTGCTGCTTGTCGTCTTTCTGCTTTTCATTACTGGTAAGTTAGTTTATCCGCTTGCCTGTTATTTGTATAAGACTGTGAGCTCAGGTTTAATTTCAGAACGATGGTCGGTAGTATCGAGTCGTACGTTGTATGCCCATGCTGTTAAAGCGGCTTCACCCATAAAGACGTGTACGTCTGCTCAGGTGAATGGTGTGTGCCACGAAGAATGCGTCAAACGATATTGGAATTTCTGTACAAAAGTGACTCCCATCTGTCGCTGTCCATAATAAGGAGTAGCGGTTGTCGGAATCTTGTGCATTCGTATCCTTGTGAAGAATAACACAAATCTACGAGTGTAATGATTTAATATCATTGTCAATTTCCGCAGTAAAATTACATTCTACGTTTAACAGAAAAATTGTATGATGTTCTATTGTATGTAGCTCTCGGGGAATGTTCGTGGGAACGTCCGGACATTAATAGTTCTCTGTCTGGCAATTCTACTATTACAACTAACAACTATTTGCTATTGTACAAAAATAAAAAAAAAACTAACAGAATATTTAAATACTGTATAATATGACAGTAATTTCAAAATAAAAAATAAAATTATTAATTCATAAAAGTAGCTTAAATATTTCACATAAAAAATTTAATAAATAAGCACTGTATTCATTGTTTCGATCTACATTGTTAAAGAAACAATATTTTTCGGAAGACAATGAAAAATATTGTTTCCGTATTGTAAGAGATTTACTTGGCAATTATTTCCGAGTCTAATCGTTTGGACATTCGCAAGGCTATGGACTTTCTATTAGTACAACGGTTGAGTGTTCAGGAGCACGCCGTGCACTTCCGTGGGACCCGGGAACTCAACCGTTGTAGCAATTGAAAGTCTATATCCTTGCGAAATCCCAAACGATAAATAATCGCTAAATAAAGCTCTTACAATACATATCGGAATATTTTTNAAATTATCCTTACTTAAAATAAATTTGTTTTTTAAGTCATTTTCTTTCTCTTTTTGTTAATTGCAATCTGAACTTGAATTTTCTTTCAATGATTGAATGAATTCAATTGTTCAACAGAATGAACACAATTAAATATTTTTATATATTGTTTTATAAATGAATATTACCAATTTGGATTACATTTTCATGGAATTTTCATATTAAAACTTATAGGCTAATACAGCCTATGAGTTTTAACATCATAACAGATATAAATAACAAATAAAACCATAACAGATGGTGCCACCAAAATTTTAAATGTTGCTGGGGAAGGTTAAGTAACTCATTGCTGGATTTTTAAACATTGGTTCTATATTGGAAAGGACTTTTAAGTAATTCATCAGCTATTAATGATAATCACTAGTGAAAAATTCATTTGTAATTGCCAACAAAATCTCTCTTTTGTCAATAAAGCAATAAACTTGTTTATTAAAAATTAAATATAAAAAATTAACATTTAAATATAATACTTTGTGATATTGTATATTAATTTGTAAACTTTTCTGCTGCGTAGGGTACACGCACGTATATTATTAATAATTAACATGAAAAAATTTTTATTTTGTGAAAGATTGATTTTTCTTTCAACAAATAAATGGTGTAAGTTAATTAAACTTAAAAATACCGTCTATTTATATTTTTTAATTTTTTTTTGTATTGACAATATCAGTGTTGCCAATCTATGTAATCTTAGGTTGGCAACATTGACGGTCACACGTGGGTCAGTAAATGGTGAGTTATTCGTTATATTTTGTGTTTACCTTAGAATGAATTTACAAAAGAATATTACGGAGGAAGTGAAATGTGAATTAGAAGAAAGATATGGCTGGAACGTGAAAAATATAATAAAAGAAAATAGCGAATCGGTTCTCGATATAAAAACTGAATACGATTCGTTTAAAATGATTTGCCTATCTACTCAACACCAGCTGAGTTGGAAGACGTTAGGAGATTATTTACAAAAAAATACCACCGATGACATAACTCTATGTCTAAGAAATGGAGATACGTCGACGGTTTATTATCATTTATCCAAAGGTCTTGCTCCTCCCGATGACTTAAAACGTGAAATAAGTACTTCCCCAATGGAGACGGAATCTTCTGAACCGAGTTCGAGTTCAGACATATCCAGAATCTCTTTCAAATCCGCAACGTAGATGTGCATTATATTCAATAATATAAAAATCTTTTTCGTCGTCTTGTTATTGTTTGATATGACTTCTTGTGAAAGTTTGTCTTGATGCGTTTACGCGTAAACTATGTAGTAGAATTTTATTTTTATTATTAAAAGCAAGACGTTAAACTTAAGCATGAAATCTCGTCATGATTTTTTCGTTATGTGTTTGACGATGGCTGCGTTCGGCAGAGTCGACGGTTGTAATGGAGCAAAGGTGTTTCTGTCGGTAGCTGTTACGTGGATACGTCTGCTGAATGACTGACGTATGCATTGGAACAAAAAGCGGCCTTTGTTGGTCGGTTTTGGGTAGCGGTAGATTGCGTAAATGTGATGTCAAAATACCAAACGTGTTCCAAAATGGCACTACTGTAGACTGCGTTCGGCAGAAAAATATAAGATGACGCTGGAACTGCCGAGTCTGTCGAACGCAGCCGATCTGAAATGGCTAGATTGGTGATTCCAAACTTTTTGGATCCACTGCCTTTTGGTTCCATAAAGTTATACCCAATGCTCTCTAACCCATTTTCCCTTGTGTGAGAAAGGTTGGGAAATATTTTTAGAAACGCTTTTTTATGAAACTCGCACTTTGTCCTTACCATATATAGTTCTCCATATTTGGAAACCATTAAATGCAATGTTTTTTTCTACCCGTTTTAAAAGAGGAAAAGGAAAGATTGTTGGTGATCACGACCTTTGCATATGGTTGCCGTTCGGTACCCTGTCTCTGGTGCCCTGCTGCCTACTTGCTTCTTCTTGACCTCTAGATTTACTCTCTGCCCAAGGGAGCGACAGCGCCCACTTCTGGAACTACTGGGCTAGATAGTGTATGGCCAAGGTGGTTAAGGAATTAGCCTACTGCTCCAAAGGACCAGTCAAAAAGTGGTCAAAGTGTGTAAAAAAACCCTAGAAATTTTTGATTGGTGGGTCTGTAGGTGTTTTTGATCCCATCCCTCGTCACTTGACTACCACCATTTTGATCTGGGCAGATCCCCAATGATATGATTATAAAGACCCTCTTAATACAGAGCAGGAAGATAAAACTGAAATGATATTTCAATAACTATGAGAGATTTTTTCTGTACTTTTCATTGATTTTATGAAGATTCAGTAACAATTTCAAACATCTTTAAAATAAGAGCAATCTGTAAACATTTTAAAAGTAAGAACTAAATTATCCTTACTTAAAATAAATTTGTTTTTTAAGTCATTTTCTTTCTCTTTTTGTTAATTGCAATCTGAACTTGAATTTTCTTTCAATGATTGAATGAATTCAATTGTTCAACAGAATGAACACAATTAAATATTTTTATATATTGTTTTATAAATGAATATTACCAATTTGGATTACATTTTCATGGAATTTTCATATTAAAACTTATAGGCTAATACAGCCTATGAGTTTTAACATCATAACAGATATAAATAACAAATAAAACCATAACAGATGGTGCCACCAAAATTTTAAATGTTGCTGGGGAAGGTTAAGTAACTCATTGCTGGATTTTTAAACATTGGTTCTATATTGGAAAGGACTTTTAAGTAATTCATCAGCTATTAATGATAATCACTAGTGAAAAATTCATTTGTAATTGCCAACAAAATCTCTCTTTTGTCAATAAAGCAATAAACTTGTTTATTAAAAATTAAATATAAAAAATTAACATTTAAATATAATACTTTGTGATATTGTATATTAATTTGTAAACTTTTCTGCTGCGTAGGGTATTTAATCTGTACAGTCATAAATTAGGAAATCCTATCTAATTCTAAATTCCATTACTGTTAAATTGGGAAAAGGTGTTGATTGTTCTATTTGGCTAATGATAATCAGTTTTAAATTTATACTAGTTTGCTTTGTGAGAGCAAACAATATGTTCTATAGATGAAATTAAGCATACTTAATTTATATAAGATTTTTTCTTTATTTTTAAATATATAAACATTAAAAACACCCTAATTAAAACACTAAATAATCTTCAGACACTTATGAAACATTTATAAGCAGAAAAACAATTTAATTATGAACATTTTTGGTATTTTTAAAAACCATTCTCAAGTAGAAAACAAAATTGAACTCGGCAAAAAACAAATAGAATATAATGGGTAAACTTCAGAACATAGAATGTCAGTTCATTTAAATTAAAACAATAGAATAATAATACAAAAAAATATATAGATAAATGAAAAATAAATAAATAATACAATATAAATACATAAAAATCCATAATAAGTAAATAAATAAAACAAATATGTACAAAAATACATAAAGAATATATATAATGGTGATACAATAAATGATTTATGTAAATAAAGATGAGCACTCCATAGACATGGAGATTCTGATTATGCCTTATCTAACTCATAGCAGGCCTTCCAGGTTACTGAGAGGACCATTAATACCCTTATACTTGTTGGAATAACCCTATTGCACACATCTGTAAATGTATAGAGCCTCTGCATAATGTATGTGATGTCTATTTCTTACAGGAAGGAAGGAAAGGTAATGCGGTCATCTTCACAGATATAGCCACAGGGAAAGGAGGAAGGAGGGGAGGCAGGGTGCCTGGGGGGAGAGGTAAGGCGAAAGGGGGAAGAGGAGAGATCATAAGTGCTTGCCGGGGTCCATTGATAGTGACCAATAGAAAAATACAGGCAGTACAAGTAGTACACGGTATATGTAATTGCGTATATAAATACCATGGTTTTACAAAGAAAACTGTAGGTAATACAGAGACAAATTGGGATATTACATAGTAAATAATACTAAAAGTACAAATAAAAATACAAGTGGAATGTTGGATCCAGGAGACCGAGCCATGATAGATTGCGCTTGTCTATTTCTAATAGAGAACTTGCATGAACATCATCTTGTGATCCAGTCTTCATTGCTCTATCTCCTGTGCCATATTTGTGCTGTGCTGTTCATGGAGGTGTCTATAGTTTGGCTTGATCCATACGAAGATGGCTTGAATTTGTTTGTAGAGAATCATACTTCATGGCCAAAGATAGAATATGACAATACCTCGTCTTAAAAACCCCAATTTTTAACTCTTAACTACATGAAAGCTTACAATGTTGAAACAAGTGGCTGGGTTGATACAAATATTCTAATAGAGTTCTTCATAACATCTTTCCTAAAAAGAGAGCTTTAAATACATTAAAACAAATTATACATTACATACATTTTTAGTCAGTACAATTACTGACTAAAAATGTATATCAGTACATTTTTAGTCAGTACAATTACTGACTAAAAATGTATGTCAGTACATTTTTAGTCAGTACAATTACTGACTAAAAATGTATGTTTTATGATAGTTTTATTGGCCATTACGTAGCAACACTTCAAAATGCTGTGTGGTAATTTTTTCTTTGTAGTTGTCAAATTTGTTTTATTCTGTTTTAAAATTTACTTATATCATCTCTCTTCATTAGATGAAAAACTCAAAGGGATACACGACGGCTGGGTTCACTTGCAGTCACCCACTTAACTGTGTCCTACTGAAAATTTAGCCTTCACCATTAAACCTTTGTTATTCTGTCATGTATCAGGTGACGTAATGGAACGGAAATGTTACAAATATGGTGCCGGGTGAAATGTACATGTGCAATCATAGATCAGAGACTCCAATACATCACATGCAAGTTGTCTATACTTCTGATAATTTTGGCATGTTGCCAGCTTACATTAACTGAGTCAGAAAGAACATAAACAATGGGGGTTGTGACTGGACTTCTGAATGTTATACTTATGCTCCTTCAGTCTAGCATCTATAAAGATCTTAAATTGGTCCTAATGCACTGAAGGTCATGTGCAACCCTCTCATCCTTGAGAGGAATAGCATATACTGCTGGAATATTGCTGGAGATATCTACTTATTAACATATTAAGTAAATAACTTAATTCAAAAAAGTTTCTTATCAGATAAAACTGTAATTTTTGGTGAACATAGAGATAGAATATTTATGACGACACACAAGGTTGCCAAGAGACACATCAGACTGCTCGGTATTTAACTAAGTTCTTTTTCTACTACAAACCATAGAGATAATTTTCTAATAATTGAGAAACAAAAATCAATTTATTTTATATATCCTTATGTAAAATTATGTAAATCTTGTAATATTTACACAGTTTATAAATGTATGCATTCTCTCTCTCTCTCTCTCTCTCTCTTTCTTTTCATGCAGATAATTTGTACCTGTTGCACTTTCCTTAGCCATCTTGATTACACACAATACTGAATATTTCTACGTCATTGCTTTCTTTAATAATTATATATAAATATATTTTTCTACTGCAAGATTTGTTATAAACGAATGTTAAAAAATCCAGTTATGATAAATTATGATAAACATTTTTTGTTGTTGTTTATATGGAAATATTAAATTAATTTAAATAATAATAACTGTCTTAAACTTACATATTTTACTTCATATTTTGTTCCATAATTGTTTGAAATATAATTATTTCTCAGATATTACTGATAAATATTGTATTAAAATATTATTTAGATTTTTTATATGTAATTAAACTTAAGTTAATTAAGATATTTAGAAGTGTGATATATAGTTAATAAAAACTTTTCTTTACTGTTTTAAATGTAAAGTTTATAATACAGTAGTTAAACTTTTTCAGATTCGCAAGTATGACTGGATATTTGTTAAGTGAAAAATTATTATTCATATTCTAAAAATTTAAATAACGAAAATGAATAAATGAAAATTTCTTGAATATAAAAGAATGTGGCCTCTCTCTTTGAACAGAATCTGTACATATAAATTTAAGAACAATTTTATACAGAAGTCAAAAATCCTATACAAATGTTTATCCTGGAATTCTTTAATTCTTTGGAATAAATTGATGTCTACATCAGATTCAGAAATAATTATGAACGTGTTTGACCGAGAAGCAAAGAGACTTCAGAGAAACAGAGCAGCTATGGCTAAAGATGTCGAAGTATACGATTATTTAAAAGAAGAGGTAAGTAAAATTGTTATTTTTGTTAAAAGTTTTAGTTTAATTTTTCATAAATCGTCGTTAAATTCAATTTATGGTACCCTATTTTTATAAGATGGGAAAATTTCAATTTGTTAAATCAATTTGCTGAAAACACATTGAGATATTAAAACAAATATACAAAGTTTTCATGTGTAGTGAAAGAAGTGATAGCAATGAAAATGATAGTTCCAGTTTGATGTTCATCTGCATTTAATTGTTAAAACCATTTTAAATACATAATAATAAAAATAAAATTTATATTTCAAAAGTTATCTCTATTTTTTTTTTTTCTTCTTTTTAATTTATACATGTTCGTAAATTATTGAGTGCATTTCAGTGATGAACGGTAAATGAACCAGAGAACTTATCTCACTGTATTTGAGCTGCTATATGCAGCAGCTCAAGTAGTTTTTTTTTCAGTTGTTGGCTCCAGTACTAGATGGCTGTAGTGCTTTGCTTAAAGCTGTCAATTGGTTATGGATGAAGTGATTAAACTATTCTTTCCCACCAAGCCTTCAGTAACTAACACTAAATACTGTACTTTGATATGCTGGAATGTTATGTCATACTACAACTGGAACACCTGCAACCAAATGTGTACTTTCAACTGTATGGTGGGTGCACTGCCACATTGGGAGGTTGATTGTAATGCGACATCCTTAGATTTCTTTATGTGGGAGTTTGTGAAAGACCATGTTTATGCAACCAAAGTATGTGTATTGTTGTACTTAAGTAACAAATTATAGAAATCATTGAAACAATAACATGTTAAATTCTGATGCAAGAAATTAAATGCTGATCAGATATTTTAAGTGCCACAAATGGATCACTTGTTGAAGTGTTTTAAAATTTTGTGAATATGTCAAAAATCTGAGCTGCTGTACGATTTGATACATTGGATAAATTCTTTGATTCATTTAATATTCATCACTGAAATGTACTGAATAATTCATGAGCACTCGGTATTTTTTTTACTTATACAAAATATGTTAAAACAAAAACTTTTTTTAAATTTAAAAATAAATGTCAATATTTCTAAATTAAATAAATTTCTTGAATTATATCAGATTAATCATTAATGTTTAATGAGAGTTTTCCTAAAATAATAAATGGTAACTCATGGATAGCCAATTGGTTAAGATGCAATGATGTCATCACTGAATTCATCTAGAAAAATTATTTATTGAACTCATCACTTCTAAGTAGGGTTGCCATCTTTTTAAAATCGCTGACTCGGACGGCAGGTGAGGTTTGTTCGAACAGAAGTTCCTGACGCATGCGTGTATCATTTTGCAATGCCAAGATTAATTTGCAGTGCATGCTGGTTCTAAATCAGTTACAGTTAGTGACTAGGGAGACTTGGATTGGAGTAACGCAAGTGATCTAGCTCTATTGGATATTGGAGATGTGTATGATTACGAATGAACAGTACAAGCAAAAAAAAAGGTCGGCAGGTTACGCACAATATCCCCGGACGGCAAGTCGGATGGTAACACTATTCTGTGCTCATTTCAATTGGACTCCCCTGCCGCCCCCTATGCTACGCTACTGTCTTTAAGTCAATGACTACCACACTAGTAATTTGGTACACGGAGGAAGAAATATATGTGACGGTTTGCATATAATTTTGTACATATTCATTTCAACTTGCACAACTCGGAGAAATATTAATTAACCCCGGAGCCTGGAGATAACTCACTCAATACTGGAGTCTCTGAGTCAAACCCGGACAGGTGGCAACCCTACTTCTAAGACATGCGAAGCTCAATGACCAATTGACAAGATATGTCGCCATTCATTGCTTGAAATAAATGAAATCAGTAAATATTTTATGTATTATGTTAGCCCATTCTTTTAAAGTTAGACTAAATGATTGTGAATTTTTTGACTTTCCACCCATCTGCAATATTCAACAGGGATCGATAGTGCTCTATTTTTCTTCATTTACATTGATCAATACTTAACCGAATAAGTCCACTGTTATTATTTATGCCGATGATATAAAACTGATTAACTATTACCCAGCGGTTTTTCAATATGATTTACATCTGCTATCAACTTTATTTGCAAGGGCAAATCTTAAAATCAACACTAATAAGACCATAGTCGTGTGCTTCTCGTTGATTCAAAACTCTCCTCCTCTTCTTTTTGTCATTGATGCCAATATTCTAGAATATGTCTGCTCCTACAATAATCTTGGCGTTATATTTGACAATAGATTAACTTTTCATTTCCATGTCAACAAAATCGTTAAAACTCTGGCAATTTGTAGAGTTATTTTATGGCATTTGTGCAAACCTATCTCATCTAAATCTATTTTACAATCAATTTTTTCTTGTGAACATACAATCCATTATTGGTTATTACGTGCCTATTTGGTCTATGGTAGCCCCTTCCCTCCTCAATAAAATTTTAAGAGAACTCAATAAAATGTATTTTTGTTAAATAAACTAAGTAATCCACCATTTACTAACAATCCAAACATTGCAAGGTTCAGGTTAGGTCTTCCCAATTTACATGAAATAATCAAATACTATGATTTTATATTCTATTATAAATATTTTAATGGTTTTATTCTGGCTTCCTGGCTTTGTCTTAGGATACCTGTAACGAATGCATGTAACACCATTTGTATTTTTTACTCCTTTTTACTGTTTATCTATTTCACGTAGATCTTTTTTCTACCACATAGCCAGAAACACGAACAATGTAGAAGACATGCTTCGCATCGATTTTTTACGTTATAAAACATTTTGTCGACGCCTATTATATAATTCTTACTGGTTTGTAAACTGTCATGTCGTGTCTTACCATGACATGTTAAGGGTGCGTCGAGCGCAGCGCCCAGGGGCGAGACGCCCGATATATAAACCCTGTAACGGAGGGCAGTACGGCTTTTTCTTGGGTCGTTGCCAAGTCCTGTTCCGTAGATACATGATATATTTAAAATAAATGTGTAATATTCTAAGTGTCGTGTTCATTCACTTCTCAGGCACTCCTAATGTAAGATTCACGGAGATCTTACAACGACTTTATTTACATATCTTATTGCATTTTAATTCCTTTTTACTTTAAGCAATCAAACTTTATGGCAATATTTATACTCTGGCTTGGTTATTATATTGTTTTTAAATTTTCGTCTTACTTTTAGCATTATACATATTTGATATTTTAGACATTTTTTTGTGAATTCTGTCTTACTTATATGTTTTTTGCAATTTTCATTTATTTTATTTTGTTGATTGATTTTTTTTTAATGTGTTTTATCTTCTTTTGTTATGGGGCTTGTTATTTATTGGGGGAGATCTGCTGTTCAGCAACATTTCGTAACGCAGATGAAATAAATAAATAAAGTTATATTAATTGATGTTAGTATTTTTATTTTGATTGTTTATATTTTATTTATTTATTTCATTTTACATTTTTGTATTCTTTATTTCAAATTTATATGTTTAAATTATTTGTGTTCAAACGGTATATTGTGAAATGCTTGTTATCGTATAATTTGGTGATGTGATAAAATGTAAATTATATAGAATAGAACCCAAGAGGAGACGTTGTAGAGAATTAATGCTTAGCCGACTTGATTTTACCGATCTAATGCGAGTTAAGTTGTTTTTGAATAATTAAATTGTTAGAATTCCTAATTGCTTGTTTATTTTCATACTGTTCCACAACAAATGGTTATGGGCCCAGATCTCAGAATGGCATTATAAATAGTAGATAATTCCCCGAGAATTGAAATTTGTCACGCTGCATCATAGAATAAGCATAACAAGTTATCGCATGGCTGAAGTTGGAGTGAATCAGATTCCCTGCTTTAATGGTAATAATTTTATGAGTTGAAAATATAGAATATTATCGATACTAAAAAGTAGACTTAGGACATGTATTAAAGGAAGATCGTCCAGAAGATAAAGCCGGAAAGGCGAACTGGAAATAAACTGATTTACAAGCTAGAGGAATTATTAGTTGCGCCATGGGTGACGCACAGGTAGCCCTAACTTTAAATTGTACGACTGCAGAAGAAATTTTGAATAATTTAAGTTAACATTATGAAGGCAATGTTAAATGACAGGCAATAGAGGCACGAAATAATGTGTCAAGATTAATAATGAAAAGAGAAGAATCCTGGAAAGAGTATGTATTACAAAACAGAGAAACTTCTAGAGAATGCAAGAGTGTTAGGAGCTCAGATTGATAATGATGAGTTTATTACTGCCATACTTAAAGGATTACCCGAAAGATACAACAACATTATCATCATCTGTGTTTTTATTTTATTTTTATATAAATTATTCTTAACATCTTTTGTTGTTAGAATATTTAATTTACCTAAATCACTTGTTTATTTTTTGAAGTTTTTGGTTTTTATTTTTTTTACTATAATCATCGTTATATTTTTCAAAAGAAAATTTATTAGCAAAGAATGCCCAGCATTGCCCAGAATTCATTATAAAGTGCCATATGTTTCTACAGTGTGGCAGAGTAATTATACAAAATTTGGTCCAAATCAGTCAAAGGGTTTGGCGATTTGTGGGAGATGAAATCTGGAGGAAGGAGTGAGTTTTAAGTTAGCGCACATTTTTTGGAGGATTTTAGATAGTAACTATGCAAAATTTGTCCAGATAATTCAAATGGTTTGGGGGTAGGGGATGAAAGCAGCAGGAAGGACTGAGGGGTCTGAGTTTTAAGGTACTTATGTACCGTACTGTACATCTGAAAGTAATAATCTTTCTAATGGTGAAAGAGTTAAAAAAATCAGTTAAGTATATTCTGAGATTACATCCATCAAACAAATATTCTCATTTTATATAGAAACATAAGACTAGTTCTTATTTTTAAATAATGCTACAGTAGGATTAATACTAAAACAATGAACACACAAAAATACTATCAATCTACATACAAAAGTTTAGTTTCATCTAAAGTTTTGTATGTTATAAGTACTAGTTGTAAGTATATCTAAATATATAAAATTGCTTGACTGACTGACTGACTGAATGACTCACTGATTCATCATTGCCCAGAGCAAACCGCGTAACCTAAAGAGGTGAAATTTGGTAGACAGTTAGAGTACGTCATGGAAACGCACACTAAGAAGGGATTTTTCAAAATTCCCCCTTGGGGGAGAGGGAGAGGATTTAGTCTTCATCGAGTACTTAGGTGTATTAAATTAATAACATTTCAGACATTGTTATAAATATTTTTATCTATTTCGATTTTAAAAATGTTCGAACCGTTTTAAATTCGAATTTGTTATTGCATATTAGTTCGATTATAGAATGATTGTAAACGTTCCAGAAAATTGATCAAATTGAAAATAGTTTGTTTTATTCTCGGCAATTCTCATCATTCTCGGCAGTAGGTGTTATATAACAATTACTATGGTTGTTGAAATACTGAATATAAATAGGGTTTGCTTGCAAAATTTTTGCAGGCGAAGTCGCGGGTAACAGCTAGTCATAACATAAGAGTATTATTGTAAGAAACTAACAACCAAGACAATATAAACAAAGCATATATATAACTACTTGAACTGTGCGAATCAAAACTGAAACCGAATAGATAAGATAATAAGTTTTAAAAAGTCCACCAGGTAGCAAAGGGTGTTGATCTCGAACAGGCAGACAAATGACGATACGACAGTGCGAGAGAAATGCCGTGGTAAAAACATTGTTCTTGTGCATTTTCCTTTTTTTAATATGAAAATAATGTTCATCTGGAAGGAATTAGCTTTCCAACAGTGAAAGACTTTTAAAAATCAGTTCAGTAGATTCTGAATTACCTCTAGCAAGCAAACAAATAAGCATTCTCACTTTATATATTACTTATATACAAACTGTTAAGAATATTTAAAGTAAAATAATAATTTTTAATTTAGTCTTCAATGTAAGTTTGGGAGAAGAAATTTTCTTTAACTAAACTAAAAATTATTAAATTATTTACTTATAAATTATATTAGCACTATTGATGACATAAATTAATACAATTGTTTTTTTTTCCTTTTGATCCAGATTGGTTATAGGATTTCAGATAGAGTTTTTGATATTAAAAGGTATGTTTCTATAATTTTAAAATACCTATTTTAAAAGTAAATTTATTTATATTATGTCTTGACAATACTTTAAATCAGTGTTGTTTAACTATTTTCTAATAGTGGACCCATACTTATTTATATACTTGAATATGTATTTTAAATATATGGTGTAATTAGTTTAAATTGTACACAGTATTTTCAATAATATGATTACAAAAGTATTAAATAATTTATAATTTTAATTATGTATGAATATACAATAACTTTTAATTGTACACATAAAAACATTATGATGCTATTCATCACTATATTTCATGGTATTCCTGAAGTGCCATTCCAGCAGACTTGTTGAAAATTACTGTTTTAAATTAATTCAGTTTTTTAAAAATTAATGTAATGTTTCTCAAACTGTGGGGCACAAGACTATTTTTAAAGGGCACAAAGATATGATCAATATCATTGTTTATTTTCAAGTACAACTCTATCGCATATACTCAATATTCAATGGAATTTTACAGTCCTGCAACCTAGTCTAGGTCATATTTCAGTTCCTTGTACAAGACCTTGCTCATGAAAGTTAAAAGTTGTTTTAAATTTGCATATAGATATGCTCAATTATACAAAGTTGGTTACTGCACATGCATGGCGGTATAATTTGATTATGTTTTAAGTTATTTTTCCATGGAATTTGTGTGCGTGAGATTGAAGGTTTTATTCATGATTTTCATCAAAGTAAATTACATTTATGGATATTTGCACAAGTGTAGACCTTGTTATGCTGTTGCGAGGTAAATAAAAGGAATTAGGCTTGGACGAGAGGATTTCTTTGGATGTGAGATTTTCTGTGAAAATTGGTCTTTTGTCTTCTGATAGTATTTATGAGAAGTGTAATAGGAAGTGAACCTTGAAGCTGAAAGTGGATCTGAAACATCTGTTTATCATTGTTGTAAGTTTTACTTGCCATTTTTGTTTATTTGTAGTTAATGACTGTTAATGGAGTACTTGATGTTACATAGTTTTAGGGAGGAGGGCCTCTTGACTTTTTGTTCATACAGAGAAGGTCTACAATTCTGGGGTGAAAACCATTCATTCAGAGTTCATACCTTACTGTCGTGTGATTGTGCAAGAAAGCACAGAGAGTATGCTCATTATGCACATTATCTTCTTTTTACCTAGGTCTCATATGTAGACCAGAAGTGGCATTTATCTTCTTAGATCTAATATTACATTTTGGATGCATTTTTGAAGCATTAAACATAACAGTTGGTAACATTGGAGTAGTGGCATTTGTCACTGTTTGCAAGTTTTTATAAACTTTGATGATTAGTATTTCAAAAATACATCCAAAATGTAATAGTAAATCTAGCATGGAGATGTGTTGCTCTATTAGCATGGAAATTAAACTGCACATTATAAAACTAAGTGTGTTAGATGAAAAAAGTGTTGTAAACACCTGCTACTAAGCAGTAGCAAGTGGGTAAACAAGCGTAATGTATATTATTAAGTACATTGAAGGATCAAAAACTAACAATAAGTGGTTATTTTGTCTACAAATGTACTTTCCAGGTTAGTTTTTAACTTAGACAAAACCTCAGAAGCCTAACTTGTTCATAAGTATGGGAGCACCTGTATAAGTTAGATTAAAAAGTCAATATTTGCATTGATGTCTCTAATAAATAAGGTGTTCTGCAAGGAAGTGAAAATATTTTTAGTGTGTTCTAGAGACTTGGATCCAAAAATGTCCTTTAAACTTAGCTGTTTAAATGCATTGTTTCAGTGCTAGAAAGAGTTTAAGTTCAAACTAGCTACCTCCTTACTATTAAGCACTACAACATCTGCCACTTCCTCATGGAACACTGTTAATTATACTTGTTATAAGCTATAAATGATCATGACTATATTTTAATCAATTTAATGTTTTAAGCATGCATTATTGTATACAATTTTTATTGTTATTTGGAAACTAAGATGTCAGCATATCGTTCTTTAATTACTGCATTAATTTTTTTTACATATTAATATTGTAGAAAATTTGACGTAGCTGTCGATTTAGGATGCGGAAGAGGATTTATAGGGCCGCATTTGAATAAGGTTAGTAAATTTATTAAGGTTAATCAACTCTGTACGTATTAATATATGAATATTATCTTCCTCAGGATGTTATCAATTGTCTCATACAATTTGATCTATCAGACAAATATGTTGTAAGTATTATTAATGGGAAACAAAAATGGTGGTATAATTATGTTGTATAAATAAAATGTTATTTAGTTTAGTTAATTAATTAATAAATAATAATTCTTATTACAGGAACAAAGCAAAATTTGTGAAGAAGTTAAAACATTTAAATTAATTGCGGATGTAGAAATGTTATCATTTGGCAATAACACAATTGATATATTTCTAAGTAGTTTAAGGTTTGTAATGTAAATTAAAAATCTGTATTTCTATTTGATAAATTTGATTTTTTATTTTATAAATTACTGAACAATTTCATTTTGAAGATTTAGTAATAAATCTATATAAAATAGGACGTTATTAAATTATCCGTATTTATTGTGAACAAGTAAAATTAAATTTCTTGTTCCTATTTCCATTACTTAAAAGCATTACAAAGAAATGTAATACTTGTTAGATATAAAAAACTAATCTGTGGGCATTAAAGTGGCCTTTATTCCACACCCGTCACGAGTTTGGCCGGGTCTATGTGGCGAGGAATGGGATGTGATGTATGCCCATGAAAATTTGTGTTCACGGAGTGGTAGGTTGACTCTCTAACTGCCTTGACTACCACCATCTATACATATTTTGATATTGCGATAAGTTCAGCAAATCACTAATATTTAATGGTTGGAAGATAAAAACAGTAAAGATTCGGTCTTTCACTCTATGGGACCCAAGTTCAAGTATGAGTTAGATCCTTAATTATAAGTTTTGTGGTGACTGTTTATGAGCTTAGCTGAACCCGGACAAGAATGAAAGTAAGCTCGCTTAGTATCCAGGGGCGAGAATTAAACATAAAGTCGACCCCTCTATAACACTGTTGATTATTCTGTTTTATATGAATTCCATGTTGTACAAGTCACAGATTTTACAAATACGTGAGCCGTTCACAGCCGTCACACGTATTTGTAAAATCTAAGTGACTCGTACAACATGGAATTCATATAAAACGGAATAATCAACAGTGTTATAGGGGGTCGACTGTATTTAATCGAATTTTAGCAAATTACATCAATGAATTTTCATTACTTTTACCTTTTTTTTTAAATATAAGAGACAATGAAAATCATCACTTATTAAAAATTTTATATTGTTAATATTTACAGTTTACATTGGGTGAACGATTTGCCTGGAACATTTCATCAGGTGAATGAAATTTAATATTATGCATTAAATCGATAATAATAAATTACTATATATTTATTGTACTTTAAATACATTAAAAAAATGTGATTACTTTAAATTTTAGATTAATTTTGCTTTAAAAAACGATGGTGTTTTCGTTGCGTCTATGTTTGGAGGCGACACGTTATTTGAACTCAGATGTTCCTTGCAACAAGCAGAAACTGAAATCGAAGGTGTAAGATCTATCAGTTATATATATTGTTATTGTTAATATTAACACAATTATTTATATTTTATAAATTTCAGGGATTTGCACCTCATATTTCACCATTTACAGATGTAAGAGATTTAGGAAATCTTTTAAATAGAGCAGGATTTACCATGTTGACCATAGTATGTATTGTAATATTTTAAGTTTTTTAACATTAAGTGAGCATAAAAGTTTGAATTTTATTGTTTAAAATGTGTTTCATATTTAGATAAACTTGTTATATCAATATTTATGAATTTTACATTAAAAAATGATAATCTTTCTAACTTTTCAAATATAATTTATTAATTTAATAAGCTTAATCTTGGCACTTTTAATCAAACTCTATAATTAACTTTTTTTTTTATATTTGTTAACAATTGCAAAATATTTTATATTTTTGTATCTTTTCTTGTAACTGATTTTGAAACTTTGTGTTAGAATTTATCATTTCTGCCATAATAATATGTAATTTTTAATCAAATTATAACATAAAATACAAAAAAGCTGTGTTAATCTGGTCATTATAATAACACACAAAATGATTTTGAAAATAAATCGCAAAACAATCAAGTAATAAGGTTATATTTACAAATATAAAAAAACTCGTTTTGATCCGAATATAGTTGTCCTCGCTGAAAACGGGACTTTGAATTATCTGATTTCAAACTAAACGGGTAATTTTTTTATAACAAATACCTGTGTGGATATTTACACTTAAACAGACTGTCCGTGCTACGTATGGTGCCAAAAATTTTGTTAAAGAGTTTTTAAATTTTCAATTTCTTGGCTCCTAATTGGGCTAGAATCAATCTGTTTTTTATTTTTTATCACAAACATATCATAGTTTATGATTGTTATACTTTTAATAAAACACAGATTAAAAAAAAACTTATTAAAAACACAATATTATATTATTTTTTAAATATTTACTGCATTAACTAGTTAAATCTGTCATTTCTCTTTCAAAAGAATCAAATTTTAAGTTTCTACTGTAATTGAAACTCTATAGAGCTCTGAGTTTTCCAAGAGATCTGGACAAAGTCCAATTTTATTGGGGTAAATTGCAGAACACTGCACATGGGAGACAGATGACATCATTTTACAGACAGTTGTGCTTAGGTGGAAAACTTCAATACGAGTGGTTCAAAGAGTACAGTTCAATGCATTTCCTATATAAAGTCTATGGAGAGTAATCTGAGATGGGGGAGTTGAGAATCCTAAATGTTAATCAGAAACAATCTACTGCAGATATGGGCATGAAAATTAAACAGTTGGTAGTAAACATGTAAACAAAGCAAGAGATATTAAAATTTTAAATCTAACATAACAGAAGACGAAACTCTCATTTTTCAGGCTGAAGGGTATTTGCTAACCGCCAGGAAAGTTGATCTTCCTGAAACAAAAATAAACAGTCCTCTACTGGAGATAAGAAGTGTTTTATAGTAATTTCATAACAGTATTTGCTGTGTAGTCTTTGTATCAAAAATGCCAAAGAGAAAGTACTTTGAATTAATGTTGGCAAAGAAGTTAGAAATTTTGGCGCAGTAGACAAGAAGGAAAACTCTAAGACAGAAATAGCAAAGGAATATAACATTCCTTTATCTACCCTCTTTATATATCTGAAGAGCAGAAATGCTCTTGAATCCACAGAAGGACATGGCATTCGTGGAAGAAAGCGTGTTTGAAGATGTCAGGATGCCAATTTGATGCAGCAGTTTATGAATGGTTTTTCGATGTAAGAGCAGGAAACGCCTCGTTTGTTATTGGTCAGTATGCAAAACCTTGGTGTTTCAAGGGGATTTCTCATATTCCATGTGAATATGCTTCCAGTAAAAATGCTTGGATGACTGACAAGTTATTTCACGAATGGTTGCTTCGACTGAACCGAAGAATGAATGATGGCACAAAAGAGGAAAATTATTCTTCTCATGGATAGATGTACAGTACTACCCATAATCTGTAATCAAAGACAATTATCCTGGAGTCTATAAGGATACTATTTTTACCACCAAATTCAAGTATTGTGCTGCAGCCGTTGGATCAAGGAATAATAATCTCATTCAGATCCGCTTATTGGTAGCATTTAGTATGCTACTTCTTAACCCTTTAAACACAAAATTCGCCAAAGAGAAAGCAATTTGCTTGGTTTTCCTGTACAAATTCCATCTCCAGATGCATAGAAAGAAGAAATTTTCATATCTAAAAGAATTAAATGAGAATAAAAACAGAAAATTATACTGTTTTAAAACAGAAATCTTTCCTTTCGTTTTTCATCATTTTCAGATGATACTTATTATTAGAAGCTTTGCTATTCAAACAGCTACATGTCACCACATCATCAAAATTCACACAATCACCTTTACTAAATCATTGCCAAGAAACACACAGAGGCTCAAATAGAAAAACAAATCTCTGAAAATGTTTAGAAAGGAAAAATAGGATTTCTCCTTCTAAAAAAATGTAAAATTTTTGTTCTTATTCTCATTTAAATACTCTTTTTAGAAATAGAGAAAGCTTTTTCTACTATTTTCGGTTTTCTTTATCTGAATATTCACTCGTAGAAATAACAAGAGTTATTCAACCAATCTGATTTTTTACTCCGATATTCATTTATTTTATTGCTATCTGTTATTGAAAAAATAAATAGTGACCATTTCTTAAACTGTACATAAATTACATGTACAGTTTAGAGAATCAGGAGGTGATTGTACACGATGGAGAAGGGATCGAGGGAGTCTATGTAGACATATTTAACGTTATTAGTGCCACAGAAATTTATTCTTATAAGCCTACTTATCGGTCGTGTGAATAAACTGTCAGAAAATATTTACAGATCTTTCTAAGCCATTTCTTCGATGTCAAGGGACGGACGTCTAAACTATTGTACCGTGTTTCCCCGAAAATAAGACAGTGTCTTATATTAATTTTTGCTTTGAAAAATGTGCTAGGTCTTATTTTCAGGGAATGTCTTATTTTTTCCAGGAAGAATAATTCACATTTATNTCTAAGTAACTTGAAAAATTATATTTTGTAAATAAAATTAAATAATTTGAGTCTTGAACTCCAGAAATTTTCTACAGATGGTCTATTCTGGATATGCCAAGCCCAATCCTTTGTCACCTGGCCTGGTTGAATCCATGATGGACAAGGATAAAAGGCCTTTTTAATGCCCTTAAGGCAGTAAAAAAAGAAAAAAAAAAAGAAACTGTTATAAGATTATTTTGTATGATTATCTATTTATGCCATCAAATAAATTATCAGAAGCTGTAAAATGTAATATAAGACAGCAGTGATGTGTACTAAAAGATATGCATAATAAAAAAAAATACTTTAGCAATATTTCATAATGAATGACCGGTTAAAATATTTTGCTTAAACTGACAACAGTGAAACACATGGAGAAAAGTCAATACTAACTTAGTATTAAAATAATAAAGACAGGATTTCAAATTTATAATATTTTTAACTATACAATTAATTATTATTCATAACTTAACATTTGAGAATTATACTATTTAGGAATGGCAGAAAACAATTGTCTTTGGGCAAGAAAAGTTCATCTACACAGAGCTACAATCGAAAGAGCAAAACAGATATATAACGGTATGGTAATTTTATTGAAATGTTTAATCTAAACGATTGTCGACCAATTTGTTTTCAAATTAAAATTAAATTTATACATTAAATTACTTCTGTTTTAGAAATGTACGGAAACGAGGACGGAACAATACCCGCCACGTTTCAGATTCTTTACATGATCGGTTGGAAACCACACGAATCACAGGTAAAATAAAGATAATATATATATATATATATATGTAGTCAATTTATAAATGTATCATTTTGTCACAATTCTAGGCTAAGCCGGCGAGAAGAGGTTCGGGAACGTTTTCTTTCAAGGATTTGCATAAATTGGAAACCGTTGTCAAAAAATCGGGCGATATTGACTTCCCTTCCAAAGAATCTTAACGTAGATAAAATTGTAAAAAATGTTTATGTAGGTAAGATTTTAAAACAGTTTATAATACATTGTTATATGGAAATCGCAGTGTTATAATTTTGAATACATTCTGTTGTCATATATAATCAGAAATGATTTTATTCATTCCCTATTCTTAATTCTGTAAATGGATAAAATCAATTGCAATGCATAAAAAATGATATTCAAGTAATTATTCACATTTGTATTATTATTATTATTATATAGTCTCTCAAAAAACTTGGCACTCGATAACCCGGCAGTCCGGATAACTGGCAATGCAAAAAAATCCTTAGTTAAATTAATTTTCATTATAGACAGCTTTATGCCTCATAAAATATTTTTCTAAGGTCTGTCTTATCAGGTAAATTATTGTACACAGTGTATTCATTAATTTTCATTTTCATGTAGTAAAGGCTCTACGTCTTCATAAAGGACGTACTTTTCCTTTGTTTAAGGGTATTTGGGCAGTTTATTCTCTGTTGTATTCTCAAGTAAACAATACATACAAGTACAGTACAGTATTTTCTGAGGAAACACTCATACTTATTTTTTTAACCACCATTCCCGATAACCTGGCATTTTCACAAACTCTGCCACCCTTCGGTCCACATTAGGCCGAGTTTTCGAGACTTTATTACTAGTAGTATAAGTCAATAATTACAGTAATCTTGACACAATTATAGTCCTGTATTATAGATACTACTGGAAACATATATCTTTAATAAATAAATCATATGCTGGAATACACAATTATTTATTAAGATGCTTTAGCAGTTAATTAGAAAATAACGTGTACAAATAGTAATACATACTTAATGTATTAATAATCACTTACAAATCAAACATACATTAAAATTTATTTAAAGTATTAAAATTAATATCGAACATTCAACAATTCGTCGGACGACGGCATTTTCATTACTACGCTGGTAGCCTCTATCATCGTCTGTTGTGAAGAATCTCTTAAACGAGAAATCGTTACCTATTAAATAAATCATTAATTAATTTAAAATATCATTAAACAGAACTTAACGACACACACAAAATAAATTCACATACTTTTGGTTGTTTGGAGAATGACGAAAAATAACCAATGCACATGCTTCTCGTAGAATGAGCCCAAACTAATTCGCCTAAATTAATATTTGTACATTAAAATTGACAGTAAATTTTTAAACTTTATTATAATCAACATCACTTACAATGTGCATTCGAAGGAATATATTTTAAAACAATAACTCCGGCTAATTTCTGTATCGAATTCGGGAGAAACGGTGAATCTGCAATAGAAATTAACAGTTTATATTCATAACAATTGCATGAAAAAATGTCTAATTTTAATTTCAAGAGTTTGTTTATTACTAAAATAAGTTTTAAATGTTTTCTCATTTACTATAAGAATTCTGCCCTACAAGAGTATAGAAAATTTCTTATGATTTTAACTTAAGAAAAGTAAGTTGCAAAATAGATTTTGTTTTTTAATTTATATAAAAATATTTTGAATTTTTATAGTTACTCATAAATTTCTCATTGAATACTTCTTGAACTGCAGTAACAGTATTGTCATTGTTAATAACATAATTTGCACATTCACGTGCAAATAAAGTTTTAATTAAATATTCACCACCTCCTGAAAAATATAACACAATAAAACTGTTACTAAAAGTTAATGTATTAACTGTATTTTTTTCTTCTTAGGAAAGAAAGAAAAAAAAAAAAAAAATACCTGAAGTTGCAACTGCAACGGCAGGTTGTTCTAGTGAAGTGGAATTTTGTGCCCAGCATCCACATCCATACATAGCAGCCTAACAAAAGAATATATAAACACAATTTTTAAAGAATTATTTATATCTATTTTATAGAAAATGTCTAATACTTTTCCTACAAAAGCAGTCTAAATTAAATAACAATAAGAAATCCTCCATATTGTTGTGGGTTCATGCCTCACCAGTGGACTAGCCAGATTTCCCTATTTTAATGTCTTAACATTTAAATAGGGACTATTTTTTCACAGAAATTCCTGCTACAACTCATCTCTCCTTGTAGTAACACAACACGAGTGAACATTCAGGTGTTGTTCTACTGTGTCTCAGCAGAACAGATTAGAAAGCAGAATTACAGTAGAATCTTATTTTAATGGATTGCAGAATAATGTGTAATTTTACCTCCTTTCAACAGATATTTAATTAGGAATATCAGATATTTTCTAGCCCCATCTATTGTAAACTTTTTTTTTCAACATTTAGTTAATATTTGGATGTATCTGGGATATGTACAATTGAGGAGGAGCCACCTAGTGAGCATTCTGATGCCAGTCCAAGTGTAGTGCGAAATTTTTCTGAGTCACAAAGACCTTCCCAATGAATTTTGGCATAAACAAACTGGCTGTACTGTACATGACATGGCTAAAATCAAATGGTGGTTGTATTCAATAGGCAGAAAAGCAGCATCGAAACAGACCAAGACTGATGAGTTTTTTTAACAAGTCATGAAGTCAAATAAAGTGCTAACAAGCATATGTAATTTCTCTCTTTTTGTGCTTTTAGTGTATACAATCTGTCAGCTTTGCATACACATGTATGGCTTAATATACAAGGGATGATCAAAAACAGATTACAAAGCCTGCAGTGAAAAGTGTACATTTCATTTCATACAACCAATACAGCCAACTGATAGTACATACATTAGATTATTTTTCGACATAGTCTCCATATCGGTTTAGGCACTTGTCACTTCATGTGATGAGTTTGAAAATTTCCTCTGGTAAAAATCCTGTCCTTGTGTGTTCAGCCAAGTTGTTGCGAAGTGTTTCACTTCCTCGTCTGAAGCAAATTGTCATCCTGCTAGTCCAGGACTTCTCACCGAGGGCAGCATCTTCCTTTGTGACAATGCACGACCTCATACAGCCCAGAAGACCAGCATGCTGTTGAAGCAGTTTTGCTGGGACATCATTGACCACCCTCCCTACAGCCCAGACCTTGCTCCAAGTGACTTTCACCTGTTTCTTCACTTGAAGAACCTAGCAGGATGACGATTCGCTTCAGATGAGGAAGTGAAACACTTCAGGACAGGATTTTTACCAGGAGGGAATTTTCAAATTCATCCCATGAAGTGACAAGTGTCTAAACCAATATGGAGACTATGTCGAAAAATAACCTAATGTATGTACTATCAGTTGGCTGTATTGGTTGTATGAAATAAAATGTACACTTTTCACTGCAGGCTTTGTAACCTTAGTTTTTGATCAACCCTTGTACATTCTTGTAACATGTATTTCTATAGAATAAAGAATAGAGATATCACGAGACTGAATAATTTCAAGTACAGATACTTCTTATATGTAGGGGGTTAAATAACTGATATTTTCTTGGGTATGCAGAAAATCCATCGTTCACAATATAACAAATTCTTGGAACAACAGATGAATTCCATGGCTTGAGCAATCTGTTAAAATAAAATTCTATTGTATTTATTAGTCACAAAATTTGGAAGAAATTGAACTGTAAATTTCAATATTACAACAGAACCTAGGTTTAGCAGACAAATATCAAAATCAGAAACCATGTCCACTTAAGACTGTAACACCTTATCTATTTCTGTCTAGAGCCTGGATAGTTTCCTAATGGTGCATTAAATAAACAAGGTTTTGGTTAGTGCCAGGCATGGACTTTACATGGGCAATAAGTAATGAAAATTGAAATATATATATATATTTACAAGAAACTTTTCCCAAAACTTGCAGACTTATAATTATCTCCACAAAACCAACAAAAAAACACATGAAATTGAAATTTATTGAAAATTCACAAGGAAATCTTACAAATTAACTTCGCCTAACTGTCGTCAATGAAACTTGAAAGCCTTGCTTTTACCTCACTCAATGCTTAACTCCACCTTCTCCTTATAGTGCAGTTTTGGTGATATTACATGATTACACCCACTTAAGTATGTAAATAGGGTTCAGTCGTGTCATCATCCTTACATTTAATCTTTTATAATTTTTTGTTGTTCTTTTTGGTGATGATTTGGGGCAGGAGATCATTCTGCTAAAATTGGTAAATTGCACAATTTGTGAACTACATTGGTTATATTTTCTTTTAGGACAACAAAGAAACAGTGTAGTAAAGATAGCGCTTCTAATAAAACAAAAAAGGTCAACAGATGACAGAAAGATGCCAAATACAGTCATATATGAGAGTGTTATAAACATTGGGCTACTTTTACATGAGATTTTGTAATTTTCCTTCAAGATAATTTCACAACCTTTGTGATTTATTCTATATATATATTCACTCAGTCTGGTGTTCAGGATTTCTTTATGAAATTTATGGAAAACTTAGTTAAGTGCCATTTCATATTACATTTATTTAACTAATCACTAATTAAAAATTAGTGATTAGTTAATTTAAAGAAATTCAGAAGAAAGAATTTGGCCTCAAATGGTGCTACAAACAGCATTACTAATGATGCCATTTATGCTTCTCAAACAGAATGTTTGTCAATTTCCCAACACAATTAATTTGATTCATTCTGCTTCCTTCAAAATTCAAGTTTCTTAATTCTTCCCTTCCAGTATACAAGGAATTACGCTTGACCAATCTACCAATGTTTGATGTGAAGAGTGATACAGTACTATCTAAAAATGGGACTGTGAGAACTTTAATGAATTTATGGACATACATAATACAGAAATTCTAAAAAATGATGGCACTGGAAATAAGCATAGTACTTTTAAATGATGTTCATGGGAAGTATGTATCTGTTGCATACCGCTCACTTAATAGGGGTTTGGAGAATAAGAATAGGAAATTTTGTCCATTGTCTGCAAAAGCAGTAACTGTATGGTTTCTCAAGATAAAAAATACATAGAGAGTTCTATTCCTATACCAGGACGAGACATTTTGTTTAGTACAGGTGGATACAGATGTCTACTAAACCCAGGTTTTGGTGTATATTATATTGAATAAATCTTTAGTTTATTCTTTTTATTTGAGATTTATAATCAGTTTATTACTAGTGGTGGCTCAAGGTATCTAATACAAAGTTGCCATTACAGGAGGATGCAAATGAAATTGTTGAATAAAATTTGATTTCATGTAATGTTGGCACTGATTTTGATTAATTTTATCGAAACTGGTGCCAATCAAAACAATTCTATTAGAGTTGTATGTTGCACATTCTCCTGAGAAAAACAGTAGCTATTATGGTGAAACTATCACTAAATATGACCTGAAAATTATTGACTTACTAAACACACAATATGACATGACAGTTATAAAATGAAGTTAGGAAGAATAAGGATTGAAGAAAAATACAAAAATACTGCTTTGTTACTATTAATTTTTCGATTATGCAACTGAAAAGCAAAAAGGTTGATTAACAATGCAGATGGTTGTAATATCATTAACAAAAAGTGAGAACAGTTTATACTACTTGTAATGAAATGTTCATCGTTATGTTCTCATCAGTACAGATAGCATATACATTAGTAAATTAATTGGTTAATTGTATAAAAATCTTATAAAATAATACAATAATTGATTTATTACAATTAAAAATATAGTATACGAATAGTACAAACTTGGCCAATTCTTCCGGAGTGTTTTAATGCTATTCCGCCACTTGAAACGGCACTGGCGATATTCCCTTTGCCGTCGATGCAAATTGCACCGACCGTGTCGAGTTTTTCTTCTCCAACATTATTCCCTTCGTTCTGAAAATTTAATTATATGTAACAGTTAATATAATTATTATAAGAAATATTATAAATAAGGCAAATTAATATTAACTTACCATTTTATCAGATTTAAATTTATATTTTTTATACTCTTCGTATTCTTCTAGTTTTCGTTTGTATTTTTTGAAAGCATTGTGTGCACTCTCTGAAATATATCATTTATTTAAGGAAATAAAATATTGAAACTGATTGTTTTATTTAAAAAATAATAAAGTTTTGAGCTAAAGAATTTTAAATAATTCTGAAATTTAGCATTTAATCTTTGACTACATAATTTGGACTTTTATGTAAGTATGAGGGCCTGCCTGACTGCATTGACAGCCCAATCCCAGCATTTTACTCTGTTTCACAATACTCTCTATAGGCATGTTATTTAATCATTATGTAAAAATATTATTATAATTGTAAATACGTGGTATGATCCAAAAGTTCAAACTGCAGTAATCTATGACGACAAAAGCATGTATTTGAAGTTACAGCGTATGAAATGGATTCTACCAACCACCCCTATGTGTTCAGATTGGTTTCACCCATGTCATGTGATCAAACCGTGAGTGCTGCTGTTTTCTTCTGGAGATAGTTACTTTTGTTCTGCGATGTAATAAAAATGGAGTTTCAAGAACAGTGCTGCAACATTAAATTTTGTCAGCGTTTAGGTAAAACACCTACGGAGACTTTAAAATTGCGAAGAAAGGTGTACGGTGATTCTCCATGGCGAAATTGAAGGTATACGAATGGCATCGGCATTTTAAAGAGGGCCAAGAATCCATCGCAGACGATGAATGCTCTGGCCGACCTTCGAGTTCACGGAACGAGAAAAATGTTGAGTTGGTCACTCAATGTGTTTGAAAAGATCGTCGCCAAACCCTTGAAAAAGTTCTGTGGCTACTCACTTATCAAAGACTAGTTGCCAGTGTATTTTAATGGAAGATCCTAACATGCACCGAGTGTCTCAGCACATTGTCCTTTGAACAAAAGTAAGAACGAATGAGAATATTGGGTGATTTAATCAACAAAGCCAATAAAGATCCAGTTTTTTTGAACCACATCATAACGAGTGATGAAACATAGTGTTGCTTATTTGATATTCAATCAAAATGCGCTTCTTCAACATGAAAATCACCCTCCTCACCGTGATCGAAGAAATTCCGGCAGAATTGGAGTGATTGGAGGTATTTTTTGATTCTGAAGGAATTGTTCATTCAGAATTTATTCTCAAAGGCAGAACAGTAAACAAGGAGCATTATTTAGACATTTTACATCGTTTGAGGAAATCCATTTGTCGTAAACGGCCGCAGATCTGGCAAAGTGGAGACTGGTACCTCTGCATGACAATGCACCTGCACATTGGTCCGAAATGGTCACACAGTTTCTCGCCAAAACTGAAATTAATGTGCTTCAACACCCCGCCTATTCACCAGACTTAGCCCCGTGTGATTTTTATTTGTTTCCATCAATGAAAAAGCATTTGCAGGGATGCCAATTGGTGTCATTAGATGAGGTGAGAGCAGCATCGCAGGAGGCCTCATGGGGAGGTTTCAAAAAATAGCTTCCAGCAGTGCTTTCAGAAGTTATACAAGCGCTGGCAAAAGTGTATTGTTGCCCAAGGTGATTATATTGCTGATGCATAACCACCTTCAAAGTAAACTTTTTAAGGTAAGGAATTTTACGCCAAGTCCCCGAACTTTTGGATTGTACTACGCATATTAAATGAATCAAAAATACTTGCATTGCATTTAATTTGAAGCAGAAAACCAGACAATTTAAGGAAAAATACTTAATTTGTATGCATAAGATATAATTAACTTTGGTCAATGTTATTGTAAAAACAAAAATATGTTTAGAATAAAATTTTAGAGGTGTAAAACATATTCAATAAATAAAATCAGAATCATCAGATGTATTTTAATACAAAATGATTAAAAACTAAATTTCTAATAATTTAAAGCATCTAATAATGGGAGAATTGACACAAATATTTAAAGAAATCTGACCTGATTGTAACACTTCCGGTTGGACGTACGTAAAACCATGTTTAACGGCCCACTGTTTTGCTCCTTCCGCTACTAAGAAACTAAAAATTTCACATTGAAATTTATTTTAAATTGTTTCTATCAATAATTTGAAATAAAATTGTTTTATTAATAAATTAGTCTAAACTTTTATACTTAAATAAATAATATTTAAATCATTATATAAAAAATAAAATTATATCTTACCAACCATCTTACCAAGGAGGAATCCTTCCTAGAGATAACAGCCCTTTATTCTGTTCTATTAATAATTTCTGAGCAATTTGAACAGGATTGGTAAAACCTAAAGAAAATTATTTACTATAATGAGATAAGTTTTTACTTTAAAAAATAAAATTAATATTGTATAAAATGAATTTACGAGTAAATACGGTGAAGTGTCGGAAATCCGAACATAAAAAATCCAAATTCGGCTGTTGAAAAACGGATACGGATCCTTTCAATGATAATTATTGTATTGTTTGTTTAAATACAATGATTCTGTAATTTATATTTTGAATCTTTGTATTTTATATTCTTTGCGAAACACTGGCTCAAACTTGGAACACCTATACTTGAATTACGGTGTATTTGGAGTTTATAGCACTTAAAATGTTAATTTATATTTATATTTGAAAATGATCTAGACCCAATTAGTCCCGATTTTCAACGCTTCACTGTAATTTACATTATGAATTCATTCGAATCTAATAATTACAACCTTATCCTAATTTTTCAGATTAATTTAAAACAATCGCTAGTGTTTTTAACCACAGAAGATGGGGAAGAAATCCAGATAGCAAAATTGTAACACAAGCTCAATTAGATATTAAAATTATGTAAAATAGAAATGACCAAGAATGTGGACGACATGATAGAATGCTTTGATTTTACGTGTCATTCATCGCATTCGTCTAATGTACAAATCAGAAATTACAAGAATTGTAGCAGAAGAGATAGTTGTATATAATAAAAATTGCAATCCCATTTTGTATCATACGAATTGTGGCTAAGAAAATCGTAAATAATTGCCTTTAAAGACTTTCAAACCCAGAATCCACATAGTGATATGATTTTTTTTAAAGTTGATTTAAAGTAGCATTCACATTTGTAGACTGTCTCAGAATGTTTTGCCCTCTGTAATCCCAAGAGATCTAATATTTCGAAAAGTATATTATTTAAACTAGGCATGACAATAATTTATATATGGAATTTCATATATTTTATTGTTCTTGCACCTCCCTGTAGCATATAAATGCTACAGGGAGGTGCAATAACAATAAAACATAATCATCATTTGAAAGAAAAAGTGTAGAAATTAGTCAAGTTGTATTTGTTTAGCAACACTTAATTGATGCAAGCATGGTATATAAATGATTTACTCGTTTCAAAGTTGGCAGTTTTTCTCTGGAAGATGTGGAGCACTACGGAAGACCATCTGTTATTAATAACGATCAGATAAAGACACTAGTCGACGATAACCCGTGTTACAATACTTGAGAGATTGCTGAAATCCTAAAAATATCAAATAGCACCATCTGTGAACATTTAAAATGTCTTGATTCTGTCAGTTGCTACAATGTTTGGGTATCACATGACTTAACAGAAAAGCATTTGATGGATCATCTTGATATGCAACTTGCTCTTAAAATGTAATGAAAATGAGCTGTTTTTGGAGTGGATAATTACAGGGGATTAAAAGTGGATTCTACATGAAAAAGATCTTAGTGGAGGCTCATCTCACTTTCTCTATCTACTCCAAAAGCTGGATTACTTCCAAAGAAAGTTATGCTGTGTATTTGGTGGAAGTGAAACAGGATTGCTTAATTTGTGAACTTCTAGCAAACAATTAAACACTTAATTCAGATAAATACTGCTCCCGGTTAGATGAATTAAATGAAGAAATTAAACAAAAATGCTTGCAATTTATCAACATTTGACAAGAAAGGTGTCATTTTTTCAACCTAGACTGCATTTGTCAACGAGCTGGCAAAAGTTATTTGAACTTGGATGAAAGGTTTCACCCCACTCACCCTATTCACTGGACTTAGCACCCTCTAATTACCATTTGTTTCAGCCTTTGCAAAACGTTTTTAATAGGAAAAAATTAAGTACACTAAGAACAGTAAAAAAAAAAAAAGGATCAGGAAGCTATCTGATAGATGGTGAAAAGTCATTGAAACATGCAGTGTATATATTATTTAATAAAAAACTAATTCTGTGTAAACATATTGCTTTGAATTTTTGTCAAATTTTGCTACGAACTTTCCGAACAACGCAATATTAATTAATGTTTGAAATTACAACAACAACCATAATAACAACCATTATAAGAGAGATGAAATGACGGAAAGCATTGAAGTGCAGATACAAGAAAGAATTCTTTAACACCAAGTTCATTAACCTGTCATTCAAAAGTGACAAATGATAAGCACAGATGCACACCAATCAATATCTTACCGAAAAGCTATCTAACCGATAATGAGTATGAGCCAATAGCAAATTTATATTCACTATCTACTATAGTACATATACTGTATTGTACATTTAAATTTAAAAGCTAAAATGTATTACAATTTAATATGACAAATAGCAAATGTTGATATATTTTCCTTGGTTACTTTAAGAGTAGAAATGAATAATTTTAGAAACATTTGCAAAAAAGTATTGATATAAAGCAGGGTTTGAATGTAAAAGTTCTTTTTAATTAGATAAGTAGAAACATAGAAAGGAACTAATTACATTTTAAAAAAAATCCAGCAACAAGTTGCTTAACTTTTCCGGCAACATTTAAAGTTTTAGTGGTACCATCTGTTATGATATTTTATTGTTAAAAACTTTTTATATATTTAATTATTATAAAATAACAAAAAGCTTAATTTTGAGGGTAGGGATGGGTTTTATAAAAAATTGTAAATGCCAATACAGAAAATCCTGGTTAGTTCAAAATTCAAGGGACAAAATAATTGTGACTTTGAATTATCCAAGATTTACATATTTCTGCACAATATGCCAAATGCCATGTAACAGATGTAATTTATTAAGCAAAGGTGATGTATACAGAATGCTATTTTTATTAATTAATAATTACCTGCGGTTTATTTGCATTATTATTAATAAACATCATGTGTTCAGTGAGAACCTCGCAAGTTGTCAGATAGGTTTTATAAAAAGTAAAGCAGAATTCCTTGAAATGTGGCCCAAATTATTTTTAAAGAGGCCCAAGAAGAAGTAAGTAATCCAAATTAAGTAGCCTACAGCCCTATAAATATCTCAATATGCTACTTGTAGCCCAATCTTGCAAATCCAAAATCCAGCTGTATTCTTCTTTATAAGATAAGAGGAAAAACAATAGTCCAAGGGTAAGATGACACCCAAAAATGTGTTACTGTAAAAGCAACGATGTATTGACCAGATTAGAGTTGTTTTTGGTCTATTGTTCCCATATGAGGTACTTTATCTAAATGAACAAGATAATGTACGCACATCATCACTTGGACAGAATTTCCACTTCAAATTTCAAGTATCTGTAACTAATCAAATTCTTTAACGTGTAAATCTCTATATCCTCAGCTGGGCAAAAGTGCAGTTATGAATGGAACGGATTTTGAACTATCCGAGTTTGAATTAACAAAGATTTCCTGTAATGAATAAAATCGTCATTTAAATCTGACCCTACTTGAGATACGACACACAACCTCCCTTCGTCTCCCCACCCTGTCAACATTTAACCACCAAAATTTAATAGCATCAATCCCCTAATATACAAATCTCCCTGCAAAATCTCAGAAATTTTCAACAAAAAGGACAGGAGTTATTACGCTTAAAACAGGGTGAACAAAATCATGCCCACACACACTACCATCCAAACACACAGAAAAGAATCACAAAATTACATGTAAAAACAAATTTCAGTTATAACTAGTATAAAATTAAATATAAAGCTATATTAAGACCAACCGGAAATTGCGCCGACGGCTCCGTAATTTAACGTAATTCCATCCATTACGCTTGCATCGCATTCGACATTTCCACATTCTGTCAAATTCGATCCAATTCCCGCATTGGTTAAAGGCGAATCCTACAAGAATAAGAAAAAATTTCGAGATCTGCATTAAAAAAAATAAATAAATAAAAGTTTTTTCGTTTATATTTTACAATATTTGATATTAATATTCAAAATTTAATATATCGTTTATTAATTTATTACTAATGTTTAATCTTTTTATAAAATTTACTTCATAATACCTCTAAAAGAGATACAGCATGAGTAACTACATCCACAGCAGTATGCTCAGCATTTAACATTCTCATTGCCTATAAATAAATAATTCATTTGTAAAAATTAAAAAGTTCAAAAATCAATAATAAGTGAATCCTTAAATATGAAAATATTAGTTTTAAAAATCCATGCTGATTAATTCCTTTAAAAATGACAAAGTAAATGATGGCCAAATGGCATCCTGGATACATTGAACTCGTTCTTCGCCCCCATTGTCTTGAACGTGGAAAAACCACGATGAATATGAAAAAAGTCCCTCTTAGTGTCCACAAGGTGAAAAGAATTAAAAATAAATAAAGTAAAAATATTAGAAAATAAAACAGTTACCTCGTATTTACGTTTACAAATTCAAATAACTAAAGAATTAGTTAATATTTTTTAAAGTTGGACAGAAAGATTACATTCCGACTTAATTTCATGAAAACTATGGAGCAGAATATTCCTTACTGATAAATTTATATCCTGTTGTAAAGGAATTGCAATTATCCTTTGTGACGACGATGCACGTTTTAAGACGTTTAAAAAGTTAAACGATTAACCAGCTCGTAAGACAAATTAAAAATATACAAATATGAATATTAATTGAAAATAAATTAATTAATTAAATTCAAAATATATAACAATTCAGCTTCAAAAGTTTCGTAAAATTGATATCTTATTCATATTTCCCGATAACGAACGCAAAACTAACTATGAGGCCGATAGGTAATGCACGAAACTGCCGGACGATATTAAACAGGAACGTGAAAGTTCTCCAGACGACGTTGGAGTTTTAGAAAGAAATGAGATGGTAATTCTTCTCCACTTGTATGGAAATAGCTATGTTTTTATTTACAATCAAGATTCAAGAGTTAGAAGTTAATCAATATATATACTTAAAGTAAAATGAATTATCATATTTGGAGATTCCCAGTTGAGCTGAGAATAAAATCGTAAACGAAATGAATATACATTAAATGGTACTCTTCGGTTAACGGGACACCAGTCGATCGATGAAACCCGATCCACGTTTACATCTTTATATACAATTTAATCTAAATTAAAACAAATATTAAGTTAATTATAATCAAAATATATTTTACTTACAGACTTGCAAGTCATTTTACACAGTAATTCATAATTTTTATTTTTGTCTTCTGAGTGATAGCCAGCACCTGAACAAATTAAAAATTTTAAATTAAACACTTAAGTTTGATTTTTATAAAACTGGTTTATTATTTATAAGCTTTATTTTGAGAAATTAATTCAGTTACCGAATGTAGATATCTACAAGAAACGTTTTTGACCGTTAAAGGATAATATCAAGTTCTATTAGTTTTTCAATAACTACTAGAGGAAAATGGCTTATTTGTTTCTCAGAACTGAAGAGCAGCATTTTCTTGGCACAGTGCACGTTGTATTTGATGACGAAAACTGACAAAAGTTAGGCTGAAAACAGTTCATTTTAAATACACTCTTTGAAAGTGGTGTATTGCTAAAATTAAGTAGTGGAACGGATACTTTCTAACCTACAAGTATACAATTCATTAAACGGAAAGGCAGTTGTTATGGTTTTGTTTTTCATCATTTATTTATGTATTAAACTTAAAATACATACAGGGTTCCTACTCAAATCTTTGTTTTAAATTCTATGACTTTTTCCGACCCTCGCGTCCCTTACGGTACAGCGCATTGACAAAATAAAACAGCATACGACTTACTAAGAAAATATGCTGTTGCTTCTTCAACCTTTTAATTAGTTATTTTTTCTAATTAACAGTTACACAATTTTTATAATTGCTGAATAATTAAAATTAAAAATAAAATGTTTTTTTAAATTAAAATAATTTNAAACTTGTCACCATATACAGGGTTCCTACTCAAATTTTTGTTTTAAATTCCATGATTTTCCCTGACCTCACGTCCCTTACAATACAGCACATTGATGAAACAAAATAGCATATGATTTACTATGCAAATATGCTATTGCTTCTTTGACTTTTGTAATTATTTATTTTTTCTAATTAACAGTTACATAATTTTTATAATTGCTGAATAATTAAAATTATAATGTTTTATTAAATTGAAATAGTTTATCCTGTTATTAATCCACAACCATAAATCTATGTGGCTTTGAAAAAAATAAAAAGCCATTATTTATTATTGTCATTAAGAAATGACAATTGATATTACTTTATTTTATATTTGGGACTTAATATTGGTTTTTAAAATTAATCTGCACTGAATTATAAAATGCAACAAGGAGGAGAGCAATGTAAAATGCCAGTGGATCAAACTATCAGTAAAAAAAAGTACATGTACGTAATAATTATATAAACATTAAACAAAATAAAAAAATATGCAAAACTTAATACAATTTTTGAAAAACTGGAAGAACTACATGTCTTTAAGTACAAAATACCTCAATGAGGGGCATTAACCTAGTGTTTCTCGAACTTCACCTTCCGGTAGACCCGTTTAATAAATTTTAATGCGCCATTTGCCTAATTTGCATAGTTTTCTGTCAATATATTTGCCTAGACCCATGGGGATCTGTGGTCCACAGATGCTGTTGAGAAATCTGCTATCCAAATTATCTCAATCACCCAGACGTGAAAATTTCTACTATTTGGCACTACACACCGTGCAAAAATTTTCAGTGTTATCGGATAATGCTTTCAATGTTGTCATACAAAGAAAGCAGTTAAGTATCTCGGAATGGATAGATTTATGGGAGAAGGCAATGCCTGCCTCCTAGGAAGACTTTCTTCAGGAAACTGACTCTATTTAGGTGTTAGATTTATGAAGAAAACCTGAAAAACTTTATGTGGCCAGCCCATTGGTGAAATGCAAACCTGCGACCAACTACCAGTGTTTTATCCACTAAGACATTGACGAGGCTAAGCACATAAGAAAGCCAGTATTAATTACCATGGCCCAGACCGAACTTATTAATCAACATGTGCTTAAATTAAAGCACTCTTTTAATCTAAAATATTTGTTAAACTTATTAGTTTAGTGTTGCATAGCAAATTGTATGGTAGGCCTACTTACATATATGTATGATTTAATTTGAATTTTCCAAACTATGTAATAATAATAATAATAANAGGCAAATTAATATTAACTTACCATTTTATCAGATTTAAATTTATATTTTTTATACTCTTCGTATTCTTCTAGTTTTCGTTTGTATTTTTTGAAAGCATTGTGTGCACTCTCTGAAATATATCATTTATTTAAGGAAATAAAATATTGAAACTGATTGTTTTATTTAAAAAATAATAAAGTTTTGAGCTAAAGAATTTTAAATAATTCTGAAATTTAGCATTTAATCTTTGACTACATAATTTGGACTTTTATGTAAGTATGAGGGCCTGCCTGACTGCATTGACAGCCCAATCCCAGCATTTTACTCTGTTTCACAATACTCTCTATAGGCATGTTATTTAATCATTATGTAAAAATATTATTATAATTGTAAATACGTGGTATGATCCAAAAGTTCAAACTGCAGTAATCTATGACAACAAAAGCATGTATTTGAAGTTACAGCGTATGAAATGGATTCTACCAACCACCCCTATGTGTTCAGATTGGTTTCACCCATGTCATGTGATCAAACCGTGAGTGCTGCTGTTTTCTTCTGGAGATAGTTACTTTTGTTCTGCGATGTAATAAAAATGGAGTTTCAAGAACAGTGCTGCAACATTAAATTTTGTCAGCGTTTAGGTAAAACACCTACGGAGACTTTAAAATTGCGAAGAAAGGTGTACGGTGATTCTCCATGGCGAAATTGAAAGTATACGAATGGCATCGGCATTTTAAAGAGGGCCAAGAATCCATCGCAGACGATGAATGCTCTGGCCGACCTTCGACTTCACGGAATGAGAAAAATGTTGAGTTGGTCACTCAATGTGTTTGAAAAGATCGTCGCCAAACCCTTGAAAAAGTGCTGTGGCTACTCACTTATCAAAGACTAGTTGCCAGTGTATTTTAATGGAAGATCCTAACATGCACCGAGTGTCTCAGCACATTGTCCTTTGGCTTTTGACTTCTGAACAAAAGTAAGAACGAATGAGAATATTGGGTGATTTAATCAACAAAGCCAATAAAGATCCAGTTTTTTTGAACCACATCATAACGAGTGATGAAACATAGTGTTGCTTATTTGATATTCAATCAAAATGCGCTTCTTCAACATGAAAATCACCCTCCTCACCGTGATCGAAGAAATTCCGGCAGGATTGGAGTGATTGGAGGTATTTTTTGATTCTGAAGGAATTGTTCATTCAGAATTTATTCTCAAAGGCAGAACAGTAAACAAGGAGCATTATTTAGACATTTTACATCATTTGAGGAAATCCATTTGTCGTAAACGGCCGCAGATCTGGCAAAGTGGAGACTGGTACCTCTGCATGACAATGCACCTGCACATTGGTCCCAAATGGTCACACAGTTTCTCGCCAAAACTGAAATTAATGTGCTTCAACACCCCGCCTATTCACCAGACTTAGCCCCGTGTGATTTTTATTTGTTTCCATCAATGAAAAAGCATTTGCAGGGATGCCAATTGGTGTCATTAGATGAGGTGAGAGCAGCATCGCAGGAGGCCTCATGGGGAGGTTTCAAAAAATAGCTTCCAGCAGTGCTTTCAGAAGTTATACAAGCGCTGGCAAAAGTGTATTGTTGCCCAAGGTGATTATATTGCTGATGCATAACCACCTTCAAAGTAAACTTTTTAAGGTAAGGAATTTTACGCCAAGTCCCCGAACTTTTGGATTGTACTACGCATATTAAATGAATCAAAAATACTTGCATTGCATTTAATTTGAAGCAGAAAACCAGACAATTTAAGGAAAAATACTTAATTTGTATGCATAAGATATAATTAACTTTGGTCAATGTTATTGTAAAAACAAAAATATGTTTAGAATAAAATTTTAGAGGTGTAAAACATATTCAATAAATAAAATCAGAATCATCAGATGTATTTTAATACAAAATGATTAAAAACTAAATTTCTAATAATTTAAAGCATCTAATAATGGGAGAATTGACACAAATATTTAAAGAAATCTGACCTGATTGTAACACTTCCGGTTGGACGTACGTAAAACCATGTTTAACGGCCCACTGTTTTGCTCCTTCCGCTACTAAGAAACTAAAAATTTCACATTGAAATTTATTTTAAATTGTTTCTATCAATAATTTGAAATAAAATTGTTTTATTAATAAATTAGTCTAAACTTTTATACTTAAATAAATAATATTTAAATCATTATATAAAAAATAAAATTATATCTTACCAACCATCTTACCAAGGAGGAATCCTTCCTAGAGATAACAGCCCTTTATTCTGTTCTATTAATAATTTCTGAGCAATTTGAACAGGATTGGTAAAACCTAAAGAAAATTATTTACTATAATGAGATAAGTTTTTACTTTAAAAAATAAAATTAATATTGTATAAAATGAATTTACGAGTAAATACGGTGAAGTGTCGGAAATCCGAACATAAAAAATCCAAATTCGGCTGTTGAAAAACGGATACGGATCCTTTCAATGATAATTATTGTATTGTTTGTTTAAATACAATGATTCTGTAATTTATATTTTGAATCTTTGTATTTTATATTCTTTGCGAAACACTGGCTCAAACTTGGAACACCTATACTTGAATTACGGTGTATTTGGAGTTTATAGCACTTAAAATGTTAATTTATATTTATATTTGAAAATGATCTAGACCCAATTAGTCCCGATTTTCAACGCTTCACTGTAATTTACATTATGAATTCATTCGAATCTAATAATTACAACCTTATCCTAATTTTTCAGATTAATTTAAAACAATCGCTAGTGTTTTTAACCACAGAAGATGGGGAAGAAATCCAGATAGCAAAATTGTAACACAAGCTCAATTAGATATTAAAATTATGTAAAATAGAAATGACCAAGAATGTGGACGACATGATAGAATGCTTTGATTTTACGTGTCATTCATCGCATTCGTCTAATGTACAAATCAGAAATTACAAGAATTGTAGCAGAAGAGATAGTTGTATATAATAAAAATTGCAATCCCATTTTGTATCATACGAATTGTGGCTAAGAAAATCGTAAATAATTGCCTTTAAAGACTTTCAAACCCAGAATCCACATAGTGATA